TTTTTGTCACTTCCTTTGTTTGTTCTTGGTTAATCGGCACATCTTCTTTTTCCATTTTCGCCTTCTTAGCACTTTTTTCGAGAAGTAACTGTTTTCGTTTTCGACTTACTGAGTCATCTTAAAGAATGCAATAAACCAGCAAAGTTTTCAGGCCAATTGCATTCGTATGTGATTACTGGGGAAGCAGCTAAATAGAAGAATCAACTTGAAGATTTGCATGAAGCTACAAAAGTAATTGAAACTGAGGAAAATGGTGGCGTAAAAATGCACTGAGTATGTATGAAGCAGCACGACGATTACCTTGCATTACAAAGTTGAAAATGGCGTCGTATTCGGTATGATACTGCCAGTAGTTGTGTTCAGGCGGTAATGCTGTGGATGCGTGGATATGGCTCAAGCGGAAGAGGTCGCGGTGCGAGTACCCTTCACCACTGCGATATTTAGTGACAAGCATTACCAGCTGCTCAGGACTTTGGTTGAAGTACCTCAAACAAAAGTAAATTTCAGATGTAAAAGAATACGCAGAGATATTCACTTCCTGAATCGCTTAAAACAAAATACACAGATAATTAAAAAAAAACTAAACATATACCCCGTGCCTCATTACAATAACACGTACCAACGTAACTTCAAAGACCTTTTATGATATACTGGAGGCTATAATCAGACCCTCCCTTTTTGTCCTGATTATAATCCCACTGTTTCTTTCAACAGTAGTGATCTTCAGAAAAATTATTTTTATCAAAATTTTCGCATCTTCGAAATTCAGCAGTTCGCCAGAAATTTCAAAATTTGGCCAGCAAAACTACCAAAAATCATGAACAAAGTTAAAGTTGCTAAAAAATAGATATTGTTAAAGGCAAAACTTACCAGCTGCAAACAGCAGCCCGTAACGCACGCCCCCATCCTTTGCTTTTCATTTTACGCCCAGTTTCACCCGAAACCATTTTACAGTATTTAATGAACTTGAAAAGATGAAGTGGGGTACGACAAACCTAAAATATAATTGCTTTCATTACCGTCATCTACACCACCATCACCATAAACAGAACTGCCGCCTTCAGAAAGAACACACCCTTACTTGAAATCCCAGTAAAAAAAGTACATAGGTTCTCGTTTATGGATGAAGACTACCTTCGAAACGGCAAGAAGAGCAAGTTGCTGCAGCGATTTCTGATAAGTTAGATCCAGTGGCTTAATAAAATTCTTTAAACAATAACGCTCGAATGGCCCACGTTGATCCCTTTCACTTTTCAGCACTGACTTTCCTTCCTGATCCTCTTTACTTTTCGGCGCTAATTTTCTTTTGCCAGTTGTATCACAAACCTTAAAAAAGTTTTGCAAAGAAATGCTTAACTAATAATTTAGGTCAAGTACAAACCACCTAGCAAGCAATAATGTTTTCAGTGGAAAAGATCTGCGCCGGCTGTTAAAAAGACAGAAGTCCTTGAAGTTCAGAACATGCTAATAGCTCACCTGATATCGAGCGCACAGTGCCAAAGCGAAAAGTGCGGGGTCTTGACTTGGAGCTCGGCCAGAAAAGGAGATGTCGAGGATCTCGCGCAGCAACATTAACCCCTGTCCTAAATACACTTATGTGTAAGGCACGTTGTTCTACGAAACTCTTAGTAAACCTTTATTATCGGGCTAAAATAAAGTTTATAGAAGAAACTCAATTTGAGGCCCAAACAACTTGACAAGCCAAAACTCCTTAATACTAAATTGAATCGCCAGGAGCAGTATAATTTCTCCTTCTGTAGCTGAAGTACCTTCGCAGTATGACGCTGCTGAAAACTTTTATAATTATCTCCAAGTACAAGTTAAATGATGGACAAAAACCGCAGAAGAAAGCCTACTGGACTGAAAGAATGCGGAACTGTTAGAAATCAAACAATTCATATGTGAGCGCTTTGATCACAACAACCGCTAAAAAGTTACAAATGCGACATGATGAACTAAACTGTTCCAGTAACTAATTCAAGCTAATCCTCCATAGCTACCA